ATATTATTGGAATAATGAACAACTGTATACCAGAGACATCTTATGGGGGTTGGAGTGGGGAATGGGATCAAAAACGGTGGGAGGAGGGAAGTGCATTGCACTATGGTGATGGCACATGGGTGATTTGGTGATGGGAAGCCCACAGGGATTACAACTGAGATGGAAAAAGGCACAAAATTGATGTAAAAATAAACTATTATATTATTAAAAAAAGAAAGATTGGGCAATAAAGAAATTCCACAAAACCAAAAAAATATATATATATTATTGGGGGCCCTCCTTGGTGGCGCAACAGATTAAAGCACAGCACTGTGAAGCTATCCACAGCCACTGCAGCAGGAGCTCAATCCCTGGCCAGGGAGCTGACCCACATGGCATGACAGACCTCTCCTGTCTCTCCCATTGCTCCCCTCAGCAGTGTGCTTAAGTCCATATGCCTGTTCTGCTCCCCACTCTGTCTCTTACCTCCTGCACCTCTGGCCTGTACCCCAGTTCTGTATGCATGAATAAATAAATCTTTAAAAAATATTATTGGTTAAGAGATTATATAGAATGTAGAATTTTTTTTACATTTATTTATTTATGCATACAAGAACTGAAGTGTAGGCCAGAGGTGCAAGGGAGTGAGAGAATTCACCAGACAGAGACAAAGTGGGAGCAGAACAGGCAGATCTACTGAAATAAACTACTGAGGGGAGCAGTGGGTGAGACAGGAGACATCCTGTGCCATGTGGGTCAGCCCTAGGCTGGGGATTGAACTGGGTTTCAGTGGTTGATGATAGTTTGATAGCACTGAGACTAATCACTGTATCACCAGGGAGGCCTGGACATGGAAAATTTTTAAAAGTTCCTGTAACTGAAGTTAGTCTTAGAGTAACTAAATTTTAATATTAAAAATTTATCCTACTATAAAGAAAAAAGAGAGAAGAAAACAAAATTATCCTAGTGAATAAACTAGTGTGCTTCTTCTCATGTTTCCTTATTCATAATAATCAGTGCTGTTTTGTAAAAATAAATCACGTAAAACCTATTTGCTGTGGTGTTTTTTAACATGTAGGCGGTTTTCCTGGAGGACAGATGCCTTCTCAGTATCCTGGAGGACAAGCTCCTTACCCCAGTCAGGTAATTTTGTTCTTACCTTTTAAATTTAGCCTGGGTGACTGGTTAATGTTGGGGAAGACACCACACCTTTGCTGACGTTAGAGGTTTCCATGAAGCAGAGGAGATGGCCCTGCCCTGTAAGTAGTCACTTAGGGCTTTAATTTTTTGCTTCATGCTCCATGCTCTTTTGTCCATTTGCTTTACCAGTATCCTGATGACTTCAATAAGCCAAGCATCACTCTGTTAGACAAGAGTCCCTTCTTACTGGTGATGATACTTAGAACTATTTCACAGATTCTCACGGGCTTTTAGCCTGGTTTTAGTTCTTTTCCCTCTCCGTTTATAACTAAACTTGGGTGACTGGATAATTGATATTTCTGCATTGTTTCATGAAGTGTGGTTTTTGTTTCCATTTCTACTTTCATAACTTTCCACTCTTTTTTCAGACTGATTCACAGTCCTTTTCCTCCTACCCTGTTTTCTCTCCTGTTTCTTTGGAATATAACAGTGAAGTGAGTAAAATTTTCAAATGTTCACTAATCACTAAATTCCCTCTATGTATCTTCATTTGTTTCTGGTTTCTTATGTAATTGTCTTTCACTACTTCCCTGAGGGCTTAACTATTTCTGTTTATGTCATTTTTGTTCTTGACTAGACATTAGCATGGTAGCCAATTAATGTCTATTGAAATGATTTCTTTCATATATCAAATCTTTGCCCCATCGCTATATGCCTTATTTTAATACTAATTTATTCTTTAATGGTCTTAATTCTTTTATTTCCTCTGCAAGTTTCTGGCAACGTAAGGAATATCTTTTATCTTGATTTTCTCATTTATTTCATACTGTCTATTCATAAGCAGCATTTTCAAACCTTTTATAAGGCTGGATGGGAGAGGGATTATAATACTAGAAAAGTATTTTCTGACTTTTCTGATTTAACGAATTT